CCTCAGGCGAATTTTGCCGAGTCCGAGGGGCGCCTAAAGATCATCAGCGGCACTGTGTCCAGTTTGGTCTTGTTCCTGTCGCTTCTCACTTGTTAGGACCCTGATTGTGTACTCTCTACTATTTATATCTGTCTGACTGGCCTTGTGGCCTTACCTCCAGTGGCTGGACTAGTAGTGCCGCCCTGGCTTACTTTAGTCTTGTTTGTACTCTTGCTGACTGGTCTCCGAACCCCTGCCTCAGTGGTTGGACTAGTAGTGCCACCCTGAACTGTGTGCTTCTTGCTTAGCTCCACCCCTTATCTAGCCTAGGGGGTGTGTCAACTTATACATATGTTGTATGTAGAAGTTATAGGCTAGACTAGATGTGTGCTTCTAGTGAGTACAACACAACAGGTACATGTACCAGGTTTCTCTTCCTAGTAGACTATTATCGTATTCTAACACTACGGGCCTTTCTGTTAAATTATGTATTTGATAAATATATAATGGTAGGCTTGGTAGATGTTACGGGATTCTACTGTAGAGGGTACAACCCCCCTTCTTGTATCCCTCTCTCAATTATTTCCAATATTTTCTCTCTCGATATTTTTTTCCTAGCACCTAAAACCTCTCGCCATTCATGGCGTCTCTTCCTACCTAACTAGCTTTTATCAAAAGGTGGGATACAAGGGAATATTGTTAAACATAACTTATGTTGTTACTGTAGACTATACAAGTTTGTGCTTCAGAGGGTACAATACACTAGTCTATATTGCCCCATGAGAATTTTTTTTTCTTATAAAAATTTTACAGATTGTGATTCGACTAGAAGAGGAGTTTGCTGTAAAGCAGACAAACTCCTTCATCTATGACGACTGCAATGCACACTCCTCAAAGGTCGTGTTACAATCTCCCCATTCTAGTTCATTCTCTCTTTCTGACATGGTATCATGAGTAGGTTAGGTTCCCCCCGCCCGCCCGCGCTTCCGCCCTAGGCCCTAGCCGCCCTCGTGCCCCGCCCCTAGCTGGCTCGCCCTGGCCGTCGCGTCCGCCCTCAGCCGGCCCCCTAGCCGTCCCGTCCGCCCCTAGTCGGCCCCCTGGCCGTCGCGCCCACCCCTAGCTGGCCCCTTGGCCGTCGAGTCTGCCCCTAGCCGGCCCCTTGGCCGTTGCGCTCGCCCCTAGCTGGCCCCCTGGCCATCGCGTCCGCCCCCAGCTGGCCCCCTGGCCGTCGCGCCCGCCCCTAGTAGGCCCCCTGGCCGTGGCGCCCGCCCCTACCCCCCCCTGGCCGTTGCGTCCACCCCTAGCCGGCCCACTGGCCGTCGCGCCTGCCCCTAGCTGGCCCCCTGGCCGTCGCGTCCGCCCCTAGCCGGCCCCCTGACAGTTGCGCCCGCCTCTAGCTGCCCCCCTGGCCGTTGCGCCCGCTCCTAGCCGGTCCCCTGGCGGTTCGCGCTCGCTCCTCGCCGGCCCCTTCGCGCCCGTCCCTCGTCGGCCTGTCTCTGCCTCGTGCCCGGTTCGTCCTTCTCCGCTCTGCACTGCTCTGCACCGCCTGGAGCCGCTCTCCACCACTTGGCACCGCATTGCACCGCCCTGCACCGCATTGCACCGCCCCGCACCTCTCAGTACCGCACTGCACTGCACTGCACCACTCTGCATCGTCCTGCACCGCACTGCACCGCTCTGCATCGTTCCTGATGGCGGACGTGCTTCGCTTCGACGCTGAGGGTCAGCCACTGGAGTTTGACGCGTGGCTGGTCGACCTCTGCCGCCATCTCACTGGTCAGCGGCAGGATGGCCACTCGCAATCTGTCCACCTTGACGGTACGCTCCCCTGCCCAGACCCCCCTGCTGCCGTGCCTGCTGACCCCTCGTCTGCTGAGCGTGAGTCCGCTGCCGCTGCTGCCCTTGCTCGCTCTGTCTGAATGTCGCGTGACGCGGTTGCGCAGCTTGCTATCAGCCATGCCCTCCCACTCTCTGAGCGCCCTCGCTTTAAGTCCGTCACGACTGCGTAGGCGTTCCTAGATGCTGTTGTCTAGTGCTATTCCACCCCGCCTGCTGCCTCTGTAGGTCGCCTGATCCTGCCGTCCCCTCCTCTTTCGGTCTACGGCCCTGTGTTCCCTCCCCCATACTCGTCCCCGGTTCGTCTCCCTCCTCGTTCCCCTCTTGTGTCTCCTCCGCTGTCTCCTGACCCAACGCCTCCGTCGCACGTCTGGTCTTGCCGTCCCTCCCGTGCTCGCCCTCTCTCCCATGTCTCGCACTCCCACCCTATGTTGCTTCATTCTCACGTGGCTCGTCCTCCCCTCCTCCCATCGCCTCCTCCGTCCTCCCTTGTCGTTGCGCCTCCCCCTTTGTCAGACTACCTTCGTGCCGCTCGTCCTCATATTTCTCGGGTCCTTGCCTCTCTCGTTACCGACCCGTCTGTTCCGGTTTCGCATCTTGACGCACTTGTCGTTGCGGTCGCTGACTTCGCCTCTACCCGCCGCCTTGACTACGCCACCGCTCTTGTCTCCGACCCTGCCTGTCCTCCGTCTGTCGAGGGTGCTTCTGCCCTTAGCAGTGACGTCCTGGAGGACCACCAGTACGAGCTTGCTTTCCTGTCCGAGGCTGCTCCCCGTCTCTGTTCCATGCTACTAGTCCCTGAGGGTGACCCCGACGCTTTCGACATCCGGACCTTTCGCACTTACGCTGAGGCGGATTCGGGACCTTGGGCCTCTCGGTGGATTGCTGCCATGGAGCAGGAGATGGCATCTTGGAGATCCACCGGCACCTACGTCGACGCAGTTCCCCCACCTGGGGTGAACGTAGTCGATGGTCGGTGGCTCTTCAAGGTGAAGCGCCCCCCTGAAGAGCCGCCTGTGTTCAAGGCGCGCTACGTGGCCAAAGGTTTCAGTCAGCGTGAGGGGGTGGACTTCTTTCAGACCTTCGCTCCGACCCACAAGATGACTACTCTTCGTGTGCTGCTACACGTAGCAGCTCAGCGTGACTACGAGCTTCACTCCCTCGACTTCTCCACTGCCTTTCTTCAGGGTAGTCTACACGAGCAGGTCTACCTGTGCCGCCCTCAGGGCTTTACTGGTACCTTCCCTCCTGGGACCCAGCGGCTCCTTCGGCGCCCTGTCTACGGTCTGCGGCAGGCTCCCCGTGAGTGGCACGACACACTGCGTGCTACCCTTGCTGACCTGCAGTTCTTTCCGTCCTCTGCAGACCCCTCGCTCTTCATTCGTGCTGGTCAGACTCCGTTCTACATCCGTGTTTCTGTAGACGACCTGGTCTTTGCCACTGCAGACAGGGACGCACTGGCCTCCGTGAAGGCAGAGCTGCTGAAGAGACACACCTGCACTGACCTTGGAGAATTGCGTCGCTACCTTGGCTTGCAGATCTCCAGGGACAGAGCAGCGCGCACCATCACCTTGACACAGTCACACTTGGTGCGCCAGGTCCTTGAGAGGTTCGGCCTTCAGTTTTCCTCCGCACAGCCCACCCCTCTGGCTCAAGACCACAGGCTCTCTGCTCCAGTTCCATAGGAGTCAGTAGAGCCCAGTGGTCCTTACGCAGAGCTGGTGGGTTGGTTCATGTACTTGATGACTTGCACTCGTCCAGATCTAGCATACCCTCTCAGTATCATGGCTTGCTTTGTGGCCACTGGCAGACACCGACCTCAGCACTGGTTTGCCGCTAAGAGGGTTTTGCGTTATCTTGCAAGTACATCAGGCATGGGGTTAGTGCTAGGAGGACGCAGGCCAGTAGTCCTTATTGGACACACAGACACTTCTTGGGTAGACGACGCCGAGACCCTCAAGTCCTCGCAGGGCTACAGCTTTAGCCTTGGTTCAGGTGCCGTCTCGTGGAGAGCAACCCGCTGACTGACTCAGGTGAGCAGCCTAGCTCTGCCCCAGTCCTGTATGCTGACAAGAGGGCCATGATCCTCCTGTGTTAGGAGCCTCGACTCGAGGGCAGAGCGAAGCACATCCAGCTGCAGTACTTCCTCCTACGTAAGCTACAGCACCATCGCCAGGCTTGCGTAGTACACTTGGCCTCCGGTGCCAACACAGCTGATATCTTTACGAAGGCACTTGCGCCTTAAAGATCATCAGCGGCACTGTTTACAGCTAGGTCTCATTCCTGTAGTCTCTCACTTGCTAGGGCCTTGACTTTGTACTGTCGCTTACATATGTTTTACCCTGACTGGTCTTTAGACCCTTGTCTGTACTCCTTTTGACTGGTCTTTAGACCCTTGTCTCAGAGGCTGGTCTAGTAGTACCGCTCTGAGCTGCTTCTTCCCTTGTCAGGCACTGCCCCTATATAGTCTTGGGGGTGTGTTAAACATAACTTATGTTGTTATTGTAGACAATACAGGTTTGTGCCTTAGAGGGTACAATACACTAGTCTATATTGCCTTGTATCTCCCCAATTTAGTTCATTCTCTCTTTCTGACAAATATAACCCAGTGGGTTGTACTCTTTTAGGCACAACCCTATGTAGTCTATGACAACATACAAAGATATGTTTGACTGGATAGGGGCTGTGCCTGGTGAGGGACAAGCAGCTCAGGGTGGCACTACTAGTCCAACCTCTGAGACGAGGGTCTGAAGACCAGTCAAAGCAGTACAGCCAAGGCAAGAGCAAAACTAGGGCGGCACTGATGGAAATCGTGCAAATCTGGAGAGAACTAATTAGAGATTAAGTCTGACGACCTCAACGAATCATTGCGTGCTGCTCAGGTAACTTCTAGAAATGAGCTTATACGCGTTGGAAAGGTCTTAATCTCTACTTTCCAGAATGGTAAAGCACGTTCATAACCAAGATCTGAGCCGCCGATTATGACGAAATCAGTGTGAGGGGGTATTCTGGTAATTTGGCTAGACAGCCATGAATCACCTAGTAAAAACGAGAAGGGAAGCAGTTCGATCTGGAAAAGTTGCAGTATGTGATTGTCAAACACCACCAACCCTTGCCCTAGACCAAACCCTAACACTCTCAAGTGCCATGACTGCAACATCAAAGATGTTGTAGTGGATTTGAGGTTGTATGGGTTGGAAAGGTAACGAGTTCAAACCTTGCCAACCAACCCAAGTCCTTTTGCCCAAAACCCAATAGCCCACAACCAGCTAGAGCAAACTACACCACAGAATACTACACATTTATCACTCCCCCTTGCTCGTGCTGGGTGTGGCTCAACACCATAGGGCAAAAGACTTCACACCACTCCCCCTTGCTCATGGGTTGGGGCCACCCAGAGCATGGAGTCCGCCAAGGAGAGGAGCACCAAGACGCCGGCATCTGCTGCGGGAACCCTGTCATCATGGGGCTGCATCCCGAGCAAGGTCATGCACACACCATGGCGCTCAAATGGAAGAGACTTGGTAAGAATATCAGCAGCCTGACGGTTGGTAGGGCACCACTGCAAAATCACCTCACCCGCAGCTACCATCTCCCGAATGAAATGCCACCGGACCTGCATGTGTTTGGTGCGGCCATGCAAGCATGCATTCTGTGCAAGGGCAATGGC